AAAGCAGCCTAGGAATTAGAGATTCGTGAAGTGGTCCATCGGATTGTGAGAATGCTTGTATTCCCAATGCAAGCTCACTCTCACATACGCCCACCTGCCCAGATGCTTCTGCACATGTGCAGAAGCTTCTGCACATGCACAGAAGTGTCATGTGAGCCCATATGTGCACACGAGCGAACCGGTAGTAAAATAAATTGAAACCCACCACTGGGCCAAGCCTATTCTTTCAGTGTCTGGAATAAGAAACTGGGTTCTTCATCTCAGGCAGAACTGCTCACGTTCTTGGTTCTTGGCTTTGCCAGAGTGTGACAGAATATTAAGAGCCTGGAACTGAGGCCTGGACTGAGCAACCTAACTGGCAGAATCAAATGGTGGTATCTTGAGTTAGAGACTAAACACTTCAGGTGGCTGATTCACATGTGCTTCCACTTCCTGCAAGCAAAATAAATATACAAACAAAATAAGGATCGTGCAGACTGGAAAAAGTTGTGATGGGAAAAAACTTATCACATAGGGAAACATTTTTTTAAAAGTTTATCTTGTATACCATCTATTATACTTACTACCTCAGGACTCTTCCACTTTGTTCTGTTGAACATGCAGACCAGGTCCAAATACTGGGACAAGGTATTAGGAAGAGAATGACAGATTAAATTAATCTTTAAAATATTACTGTGTAAAAACAGAAAAACTGAAAGAACAAAGGAATATTTGTCTTAAATTACTTTTGCTAGGGTGTTTGGGTTTTTTTTTTTTTTGTTTATAATTTTTGCAATCATTTACCAGTCTTGGTAAATTTTATTGTTCATATTAGCCCAAAATTCTGAAAACCCTTCATTTCCCCAGAGATCTGTTCAGTGATGTCCATTTAGATCCCCAGAAAAGCAGCTTGTGACTCCATTTTACTTTCCAGCAGCTCCTTCAAACTCTTGTTCCTATGTTGAAAGTACAAATAGTCAGATAGAGACTGAGTGAATCTATTACTTTCGAAGTGATATTCCTCATTGTTATTCACAAAGTCTCTCTCTACCTGGCTTCGCTCCCTTTTGTTTTCGTGTTTGTCCTCAGTGATGTCTTTGAACTTTTTCTCTTTTCCATCACAGTATGACTCTCTGAAATCCTTAACCTCATTTTCTGTTTCGCTTGGAGGATCCTGCAGTCTGTTTTTGCCTTTGTCATGCATGCGAGGAGAATACTGCTCTGCCCTGTGGCAATTGTCTTCTTCATCATGGCTTGAATTGTCTTTCGCAGTCTCCCTGTCAGAATCAAAGGAAAGTCCTTGCCTGTGATTCTTTTGGGAAAGGTCAAAAGGTTCTTCCTGTTCTAGGCTTCTTGAGGCATCTGTTTGTGATAGTCTCAATTGTTCCCTTGTAAAACCTAGGATGTTTTTGAAGAAGACAAATGCATTAATGGATACATTTACCATTCCATGTCAATTCTGTAATTACAGTGACTCTGATCTGCAGTGTTGTGCAGAATAATTCAATGTGTGTCTCATGATTATTTTGCAATTTATGGTAGGGAAGATAAAAAAGGGGTTCTTTGTGATTTCACTTGGCATTCTTGGCAATTTTGAATAGTTTTTAATAGCAGAAATATTGGTTTAGTTTGGCCTATTGTAGAAATTCTAGATAATACTTGATTTTATTATATTATTCATGGAACCAACATTATTGGAAAATTCACTTGGCCTTCCAAATGTTAGTTAATTACAGGTGGTCTTTGATTTACAACCATTCATTTAGGGATCATTCAAAGTTACAATAGCACTGAAAAAAGTAACTTATGACCATTTTTCACCTTTGCAACATCCCCATGATGGTCATATGATCAAAATTTGGATGCTTGCAACTGACTCATATTTATGACTGTTGCAGTGTCATGGGTCATGTGCCCATCTTTTGTGACCTTTTGACAAGCAAAGTCAATGGGAAAGCCAGACTCACTTTACAATTGTGTTATTAACTATTCAACTGCAGTGACTGCAGGCAACTATGACAAAAAAAGGTTTATAAAATTAGACAAAACTCACTTAACTGCCTCATTGAGCACCAGAAATTTGGGGCTCAATCGTGGTCGTCAATCCAGGACTACCTATCCAATTCCCAATATTCATTATCAATAAGAGACCTAGAAGCATATTAACTATGACTGCCAGGAGTGAGGGTTCAACATTTTTAATGGAACAGGATTATTATTTTTTCTCATAAGAACTAATGTCTTTGTAGCTCAAATAATCATGAATGTGAGGCATTTGTTGTACACACAGATTTCCAACAATGCTGAAAATCACCTGGGCACCTGAAAATTTAGAGCAAGTCACGTTTTAGGTCATTAACTGCTTTTGGTTCAGATATAATACAATCTTAGCCAAAAGGACAAGACATTATACTCATCTTTCATCAGATTCAACAGGTTACAATTGCTGGATTCAACCCACTGCACTAAGCCTTACTGAATTTCATAGGTTTTGTTTTAGCACAATGTGTGAATCAAGCAATTTCATTATAATTTGTAAACCATGACGGTGCAGTATGTGAAGTCAATCAATTTAACAAATGTGGTAAAGCTAACAATGGCTAAATATAATGAGCTAACCCAGCCAATAGAATTTGCTTCCAACTTTGGACTTTGCTACCTCATAGCCACATAGCTGAGGGGTGTCAAACTTGTGGTCCAAGGGCCAGATGCATCACATGCTGCAATAGTGGGTTTCAATGTATTTTACTACCAGTTCGCTCGTGCACTCGCTCATGCTTGCATGCTCGCACGATGCTTCTGCGCATGCACAGAAGCGTCCGTGTGGATGGGCAGAGCCTCCGACTGCTGCCACTACCGGTTCACCCGATCCAGGACGAACTGGCAGGAAGCCATCTCTGATGTGCTTGCCACACCCACCCCCATTTTAGCAAAGGAGGTAAAGTCGCGATATATCATGTGACGACAATATGATGATGCAAGTTTGACACCCCGCCAAACAGCCCCTTTCTATTTGGAAAAATCTGGTTCAACTAAAGACATGATTCTGATTCTGCTACACAAATGAAATTCAGCAACTTCTAGATGCAAAATAATGTCATTATGTTATTGGATGCAATGCAAATAAACCTAGTTACCTTGAGAACGAAATCCTCTTTCCATGACTCCATGTTTGACTTTCATGTGTCTGGTGAGGTTCCCCTTCAAGGTGAATTTGCTGGGACAGTAGAGGCATTTGAATGGCTTGCTGTCAGAATGCAAGTGCATGTGCCCCATTAAATTATGCATTCGGTTAAATTCTTTTCCACACAGCTGTCAAAAGACCAATGAGAATCAAAGTGAGGCATCTGTTTTTCAAAGAGATTTTGTTTTGTTTTGTTTTTTCAGAGGTAGCCTGTTTACATCAAGTCAACTTCTCCACAGTTCTGCAGTTTCCCTTTCTAAATCATAAATCTGCAACATTTCTTCTATTGCCTCCTTTTAATCTCAATCAAAAAATGAACAGTTCTCTAAATTGTCAGATTAGGCTTTTCTAGTTTTGAAAATAAAATGAATTATTCAAAAAATATGTCTTGAAATTGTTGCCTGTGAAGCTTCTGGTTCTGAGAGGCTTGACAGAAATTACCCCAATGTATTTTTTTTACAATGTGTCAGTTAGGAAATATTTGACCTGGCCAAAAAAGATGAAGCCTGAGATATGAATCTAAGGGCTGACTATAGGGTGTAGATCCCCCCCCAAAAAATGGGGGGATCACTTAATTTCATTCTATAAGGAATGAAACTCAACCATCACAAATAGATAAGTCTTCAAGGAAAAAGGAATGTCTTTATAGCTAAATTGTATGTGCTTCTCTTTCATTCATTCAAATGTAATGTTGTACTCACTAAAATGGATAGAATAGGGGGCTTTGAATATTCTTTCAGCTGGAAACAAAATTATAGCCTAAAAATATAAATATAGCAGGCAAGTATTCATATTGGAGGCTGGCTGAGTAAATATAAGGACAAACTCAGTTTATTGCAGAGTAGTTACTGAATTGTCTTAGGCCTATTTGAGAAATCATACAACCGTATTCAGATTGCTCTCGTTCTAAAACTATCTTCTTGGAAGTTGTTCCTTCAAGGTTGAATGGACTGTCTCTTCCAACCTGCCCAGTTGCTATTCCTAGATGGTGTGATGGGAATGCAATATCTGAATATGTCAGGTCGGGGGCTAACCATTCTAGGAGATGGTGTGTGTTTACAATTGGGATTCCTATTGTTGAAGGGAAAATGCATGGAATGCTACAGGAAAACTAAACAGATGAAAAGGAAGTTCTGTATTTCCTCTTCAAGCATGTTTCTGTTTCCTATTTAATCTTTGATTTGCTCATGTTTCTTTCCAGCTAATATTTAATGGACTCTTTAGCAAACGTTTGGATTTACTGGGAAGCCAGAAAAGGAAGGGAGAAAAACTATTATCATACTAAAGCAGGCTAGCTCAATGAGGAAAGTTGACCAGTGAAATGCATTTTGGCTTTTTCTGTTGGAATATTCTGAGAGTTGTTCACACAAAGGCTGTATATTTTATATGAATTGATTGCTTGCTAACTTTTGAGATATTTTAAATAGAAACCGCACTATACTCATTGGCATGTAAGAGCAAATATGTCAATTTAAAGGCTCATTTTATTCCTAAGTATATGGTAACTGTTCTACTAAACAAATTTGTAGAAGATAAATTGTTCAGCAGAAGTTTGTCAGTCTAGCAGTAGTGTTTTAATTCTTTTTAGAACAATTCAAAGCCAACTATGATATTGGTACACATTTTGCAAAATGAAACAATATATATCTAGGTAATTTTAGGCATCCTAAATATAATAGCAGTGTTCCAGTATCTCAGGGTCTGCCACAAAGAAGAGGGAGTCAAGCTATTCTCCAAGGCATCTGAGGATAGAAAAAGAAGCAATGGGTGGAAACTAATCAAGGAGAAAAGCAACCTAGAACTAAGGAGAAATTTCCTGACAGTTAGAACAATTAATGAGTGGAATGACTTGCCTCCAGAAGCTGTGAATGCTCCAACACTGGAAGTTTTTAAGAAGAGAATGGATAACCATTTGTCTGAAATGGTGTAGTTTCTGCCTAAGCAGGGGGTTGGACTAGAAGACCTCCAAGGTCCCTTCCAACTCTGTTATTCTATTCTATTCTTTATAGACAACCCATTCTAATCGGTCCTATTGCTATGAAATGTTGTTTAAAACGGAGGAAAGGAAAAAAAGATGCTGTGCCAAGCAACATCACTCATGGTATAACTTGATATATCTTTGTGAACATTTGGCACCATCTTCTGCTGCTTTCCTGATTATTTACCATTCTCTTAAAGGTCATTTGAGGCCCTTCTTAATTGCTAAACCATGAAGTCTTCACTTTGCTTCACAACTGAAATTAACCCAAGCACATTTTGGACAAATTAATAGCTTATGATGGAACCCCATGGTTATTATAAAAGTTGTCCCAGATTGTTCAGTACATTTTGAGGGACATTGCTGAATATAATTCAGCATTCTATTTTAGAAAATATTACTCTAGCAATTATAGAATAAAGACTCATTCTAGCATCAGCCTGAACATCTGGAATTATAATCCTTTTGCAAATTAGCAAACAAAGAATCTCAAATGTTTGACAACAGTTAAGATGAGTCAACAGCAAAGGACATGTGTTTGTGGGTGGGGAGGGGTTGTTACACGTGCACAAATGTGTGTATTGACATGGATGGGGACAGTTGTTTTAGTACATTCAAGCATTAGCTACATGGGTGCACTTGGAAAGAAAGTTTGTGTAATTATTTGTAAGCTAAACACTGCAATCTTTGGCTGGATTAGTATGAGATCCAGCAGATAGCACTGCTCCTTGGAGAAGGAAAAAAATCCCAGTAATGAGGAAATATTCGCGACAGAGTCTTTCTTCTGCCCTCAGGCCACATCTGGTCTTTGTGATCAGCTCTGTAGGAAAGCAGGCTGTTTTGTTTTGCTCTGAGAAACAAGTCCAAGAAAGCCCAAGCCTGCAGAGAGGTAGAAAGGCCACTGCTGTGCTCTCTTACCCTTGTTTTCTTTCTTCTTTTTAAAAAGACAGTTTAAGAAGAAGGGTGTTCCTTTCCTGAAAGTAAGAGAGAGAGAGAGAGGGAGAGGGAGAAAGACTGCAAAGTGTCCAAAAGGGCCGTGAGAAAACAGGAAGCTCCGAAAAGTACAAGAGAAAGCAAGATGAAATCTATTTGCAGGCCATTCCCTGGGGACATGCAAGCCATTGTTAAGCAAGCCACTCATACAGCGATATCCTTCCTTCTGTTCAGGAGGAGCATGGTGCCAAAAAGCGGCTATCTGGTCACTGCCTGAACTTGCTGAAGGCCAGCCAAACAGCGCCAATTCTCCAGGGGTTCTTGAAAGCAGGCCGATCCCCTTCTCCAAGTGGCCAGTTTCTGCCTGTTGAAACTCTTCAGGAACAAAACTCTCAAGGTTTAAAATCAGTCCATGGGATTTCCTTCTCTCTATTGACTATCTTAGTTTTGTCTCCATCTGACCCAGAGGTCCCCAAACTTGGCAACTTTAAGATTTGTGGACTTCAATTCCCAGAATTCTCCAGCCAGCATAGCTGGGAGTGGAAGTCCATGTAGCTGGCTGGAGAATTCTTGGAGTTGATGTCCACAAGTCTTTAAGTTGCCAAGTTTGGGACCACTGATCTGACCATTCAGTGCAACAAAGATCAGATGGTTGATTCTATGCTTTTTTCCCCCTCCCTCAGAAAGGTAAAAGTCCAGTTATGTTTGACTCTAGGGGGTGGTGTTCATCTCCATTTTTTAGCCCAGGGAGCCAGGTTTGTCCAAAGACCCTTCCATGGTCATGTGACTAGCATGACTATATGTCAAGACACACGGAGCACTGTTACCTTCTTAACAAAGTGGTACCTATTTATCTACTTGCATATGCATATGCCTTCAAACTGCAGCAAGTGGTGCATAATGGGAACTTGCCCCGTCACACGGTGCTCAGGTCTCAAACCTGGACTGTTAACTTTCTAGCCAGCAAAACTAGTATCTTAACTACTGAGCCATCGCGCTCCTCTTCCCTCCTGCACAGATATCTTTATCCAATGCATGATTCACAAGGATATAAGTACCTTACATAAGAAGTAATACAAGAAATATTGTTTTTAAAGTGATGAAATTATACTTTTAAAAACATTAGTCCCAATCCAGGGTTGAGGGTTCTAGACAAGAGTCGATATTGATATAGTATGCATCTTCTCATACCAGTAGACTATGATGAGTTTGCTAACAATGGATAACTTTGATGGTAGCAGCAATGTTGGCTAGCTAGATCCCTCTCCAATTAAAAATCATTGCAAGTATTTCTGTCATAGTATTGCTTTAAATTGCTGTGGAACAGCTGCAGTGCTTATGCCCAGCTGCCTGGAATTGCTTGAAGTGCACAGCCAGGTAGATTCCAGATAGGCATTATGAATGGACTGCGCAAATTTTTTGGAGCCTCAGAAATTGCCCCCCACTGGATATCCATTTTATCTCTGCATAAGCCACCATCCTTCTTAATCATTTGACAAAGTTAATTGGTGCAATATAGATATATTCAAAAGGCTGATTATTTTCTGGTTTTTCTATACTTAACTTTTCTATAGTTAAGTCATTACTTGTGGTTTCATGTGTAGTAGAGAACAGAAATGTCCTCAAAAAAGTAGGTAACAAAACATGAAATTAGACAAGAAAACAGAAAATTGCAAGGAATAAACTCACGACTGACCTCGTTTAGTGTAAGAAGGAAGGATAAATGCTATCAGGCTTTGAAAAGTCTGCTATTATAGCATCTATCAATATAGTAAACTACAGTTGCAGTATATCTTGTGCTTTCTGTTTCCCAACTGTCTGCTTCAAAGGCAAACATCAGAGTTTCATATGACTTTCTAAAGTTCCTCCATGGTGCGAGTGATTATCATAGAATCAAAGCCTTAGAAAAGGGCATTTAGGACTTTAGATAGGACTTTGGTTCTCATTTCAATATGGGAATCTGGTTTAAAACATCTCTAAAGACAGTTGTTTAGCCTTTCCGTGAACAACTCCAGGAAAGGAAAACCCACCATTCTCTTCTTTTCATTATTAGTATTTTTTTCTGTCACATTCAGATTAAATTTGCCCCCCTGTAATTAAAACCATTATCTCATTTCAGGATAATAGCAAACACACCATGGATTACCTCTGACACCATATGGCAGGGATGGCTAACCTTTCTGTCATTGCATGCCAACCCCCTGTGTGCACCCTGAC